CCATTTTCAGATCTCTCCAGACCAGAGATGTTCAATCGGGTTCAAGTCTGGGCTCTGGCTGAGCCACTACAGGACATTCACAAAGTTGGCCCATAGCCACTCCTTTGTTATGTGGGCTGTGTGCTTAGGGTCGTTGTCCTGTTGAAAGATGAATCGTCGCCCCAGTCTAAGGTGCAAAGCACTCTGGAACAGGTTTTCATCAAGTATGTCCCTGTACATTGCTGCATTCATCTTTCCTTCGATCCTGACTAGTCTCCCAGTTCCTGCCACTGAAAAATATCCCCACAGCATGATACTGCCACTACCATGCTTCACTGTAGGAATGGTATTGGCCAGGTGGTGAGCGGTGCCTGGTTTCCTCCAGACATGACGCTTGGCATTCAGGCCAAAGAGTTCAGTCTTTGTTTCATCAGACCAGAGAGTTTTGTTTCTCATGTTCTGAGAGTCCCTCAGGTGCCTTTTAGCAAACTCCAGGCAAGCTGCCATTTGCCTTTTACTGAGGAGTGGCTTCCGTCTGGCCACTCTACTGTACAGGCCTGATTGTTGGAGTGCTGCAGAGATGGTTGTTCTTCTGGAAGGTTCTCCTCTCTCCACAGAGAAACGCCGGAGCTCTTTCAGAATGACCATTGGGTGCTTAGTTCCCTAACTGGCTAAGGCCCTTCTCCCTCGATCATTAATTTTGGCCGGGCGGCCCACTCTAGGAAGATTCCTGGTGGTTCCAAATATCTTTCCTTTACAGATGATGGAGGTCACTGTGCTCATTGGGACCTTCAATGCTGCAGAAATGTTTTACCCTTCCCCAGATCTGTGCCTTGATACAAACCTGTCTCGGAGGTCTATGGACAATTCCGTGGACTTCATGGCCTGGTTTGTGCTCTGACATGCACTGTTAACTGTGGGACCTTATATAGACAGGTTTATGAAACATCTCAAGGAAGATCAGTGGGAACAGGATGCACCTGAGCTCAACTTAGCAAAGCCATGTAGCAGAATATATTTTGGCCTAAATTTATGGCAAAATTTTATTTTTTACATTTTTTTGCTGGACATGTTTAATAGCAAAAAGTCACAAATATTGTTTTTTTTCTCAAAATTGTCGGCCTTTTTTTTTTTTTTTTTTTAAACGTTAAAAAAAAGAAACACACAGGTGATAAAATACCATCAAAAGAAAGCTCAACTCGTTAAAAAAGGACGTAAATTTCATTTGGGTGCAGCATTGCGTGACCACGCAATTGGCAGTTAAAGTAACGCAGCGCCGTAACGCAATGGCCTGTCAGGAAGGGGGGTAAATCCTCCGGAGGGCAAGTGGTTAACAGAAATGCTTAAAATATATCACTCTGTGTGTAATGAATCTATATAATATATGTTTCACTTTTTGAATTGAATTACCGAAATAAATTATTTTTTGGTGATATTCTAATTTTTTAGATGCACCTGTATATTTTCTTGTGTGCTGTAGCATTCAAGTACTAAATGTACATGACCTTCTTCTCCAGGGCAAAAAGACTCTACATAGTGGAAGGCACAAGGAAGGAGTGCAATCTAATAGTGATGAACGAATCTGTAACAAAATTGTCCAGAGATTTTCCAGGCAAATGATGTGACTTTCATTGAAGTCAGTGATGGCTGAACTTGAAGGTCAGTTGTGGCCATTTGGAGAGCTACTAGGCAAGCTATTTTCAGACAAATGGTATGGAAAGCCATCAATAGCCAGCCGAAACCTTTGAAAAAAAAAGAAAAAAAAAAGAAAAATTATAAATAGAGACAAGGAGAGTTTTCATACACCTTTGAGGAGGGTGACATAGAAATACAGAAATTCTTAACACAGGTTTTGAGGATGCCATAAAACTGTTAAAAAAACATCTAAAAAAGCTGTTTTGTTACAGTGTAGTCTTCAGGGACTGGTCAGCTGTCCTGCTGTCAGGTGAAAATGGGTCTCAGGAGTGCAGAACTAACTGCACTCCTGTGATCCAAAGGAGGAGTACAGCCAAAGCTCTTTTGGCTGTACTTCTCCTGTGGATCACAGGAGTGCAATTAGATCTCCTTTAATTGAACAAGCTGAAGCATGAACCTGATTTTCTAGCATGCAAAGCTGCACCAGATCTTGCACTCTCTAGTTTAGGTAAATCAACGCCTTTCCATTCAATGAGAAAGTGCAAAGTGTTCTTTGAATGGTGCCCGTGCCAAGCGTTTGCCATGCTACATAGTGAACACTTGGAAGTCCAATCTGATCCAGTGTGACCATGACTATGACTAAAAAACCCATCCCCAAACTCCAATCTGTTATTGGTCAGACAACGATCAACTCATATCACTTTGAATATAGTATTGATATTTGCATTATTTAAATAGCTGGCATATCCTGATAGAGGAAATGCAGGCGAGAGAAACGGATTCATGGGGCATATTTACCACTTTGTGATACTTTTGAATGCATTATTCCACTTCCGACAAATTACGAAAGCTGCTTTCCCACTTAGTCACCTTTTTCATGATCCTGTCTGGGGCCCCTGTGTCCTTGCCTAAACTCAAAAAAGCCTATGAAAAAGGTACCAGGGGCATCTCATGACCCCGGGCCCTCGGGCAGTGCCCGAGTTTCCAAATGGTCAGTCCACCCCTGGTACGAAGACTTATTCATGCGTTGTAGAGTTGTCGTCTTATGCCTTGTTCTGTTTTTCATTTAAAAACTGTTAGTAAGTATATGTTCAACATATATAGCTGGCATATGCTTTTATGCAAAACATACAGAAAGTTTATGGTAATAAGGTTTCTCATTCTGTTTTTTCAGGTGATAATAATCTATTGCATATAAGCTTGTGAAGGTTTGAAAAAAAAGTCTCACCTCAGTATGGGAAACTGCATAAGAACAGCCATCTTTTAATGTGTGGAGTCCTGTATTAACAATGGCTTTATATCAGCAAGAACTGAGCTGCAGAAGAATTACGAGATGTGTATTTGGGGCCCTAAGCAGAATTATCGTGTAACAACTCCCTACAGCAGAGGACATAATGCAGAAGGCTAGTTTCAGGGACTACCTGCAAACTCCCCAAGCACAACTTATTCTGGTGAACTCTCTAACATGTGGTCTGGAGGTTTGTTTGGCAGCTGGGATCTCCTTTGTGCCACCTTTGCTTCTTGAGGCTGGAGTGGAGGAAAAATTCATGACCATGGTACTAGGTATGTAAACCAGATAAACTATGTACAATCTGCAATTTTAGAAGTAAATCACACCCACCTTGCACATGGGTTATCAAAAGTGGATGAAGAACAATTTTTGAATTCTTCCTGTTAACCGTTAGTTTTCACTGCTCATTAACTAGAACATGAAACAGTGAAATTACAAAGTAATGTACGTGTAAATGAAAGATTATGTGTTCAAATTATGCAATCCACATTCACTTGATACTGTAACATTAAAGTAGAAATCCAGGCAAAATACTAAAGTTCACTAAATAAAGATTTGGCTTTCCTTATCATACTTATAAATCTCAAACTTGTAATTTCCACCTAAATTCCAAGTTTGTACAGCAGCACTTTACCAATTCCTTTCTGCCCATTTACCTATGCAGTGATGTGATGACATCACTGCATAGGTAATATGCATGGTGCATAGGTCACCATGTCCATCTCCGCAAAGATGTTGTCGACCAGCATACACTTTGTGGCGGAACCGTTCCGCCTGGGCTTTCTCTTGCGGAGCGATGCTGAGTAGTCTCAGCCAATGGTCCCCTTTTCCGTCTAGTCTTCCAGCGCTCTGCCAAGGTGGGTATTAAAGCTCGAAGACAATCCTTTCCCGATATCCCAAACCACGAGCCGGAACTTCGTGTAGGGTGAATGAATGAATTACTTTATTGAACACAACTCAACTTATACAGTACATGCTGGCAGTAATCCCTGCCCCCTCCACCCCCAGCAGACAGTCTAGTACCTGATTCCCCACCCACACCCAAAACTCTATAGTACAATACAGCAGTAATCAGCACAGTATGAAATCTGGATAAGTGAAAGGCTACAAGTCCCCATTACCCAAGCACACTGCAGAATGCCTGTCTATATAACAGCTGCTAAACATATACAGTTTTAAAAATAGGTAGAACGGGAAGGCCACTTAACAAGGGGATAAAACCGGAATGGAAAGGGTAAAAATGTTATCACGAAGGGATAGTTCTTTACACACTTTACTTGCTGCTTTGCTGCTCCTCCCCGCCTCTTGGCATAAATAGATCCTGCCAACTGCCTGACATAAAGAAGAGAGAGAAAGGAATCTGTGGTCACGTGACAATAATTAATGGATTAAGAAAGTTTTTTGCAAGGATTTTCCAAATAAATCAGTTGTACTTTGCAAGGGAATTCTTCCCAGAGCTCAGTGATTGTGGTGAAATTTTACTTTGCAAAAAATACTAAATCATGTGAAAGGAAAATAAATACAAGCAGCTTTTTTGCTTGCAGATAATGGATAATGGAAGTCAGCAAAGCCCTTGCCTCATTTACTAAGCTCTGGGGAAATTGCCCATGCAAGGTGCAACTTAACTTGCAAATGATCAGTCTACTTGTCTTTAATAGATCAACCCCTAGGTTGATCTACTGAAGGCCGTCTAGGGACAGCTCCATTTACAGGAGGAACAAACAGAGAGCATTCCCTCTTGGCGTTTGTTTATATGAGGATTTACTATTGTCCCATCTTAAAGTGTTACTAAACCCACAACAGTAAAATCAGTCTGTATATGCAGTAAAGCACGCTTGTTATACTCACTGTGGAACCTAAGAAGTTAATCCTCTGCATTGTTTAAAAATGCTGTTTGATCCTGACTTTTCTGGTCCTCCCCTTCTTCCAGTGTCCCTCTTATCTCCTGATAAGACATATGGTGTGGAGACACCCTGCACATGCTCAGTTTGGTGTGTATTGCTAGAGAGGTGGGGTTTTTTTTTGGGAGAGTGCATGTGATCAGCACAGGGCCAAACAGCACTGTCCAGACAGAGGTCAGGGGTTTTGCATCCTTCTAGAGCAGAAAGAAAACTCCTCCTACACACTTTAACCAGTGCTCTGCTGGATACTGATAGAAGTCAGAAGACTGCTCTAACTGCTGATTAGAAAAGGTATTTAGCAGTTTATATTTACTAAAATAATTATGCTTCCATTTTCTGTGTACTGTGGGAGACCAGATATAGTGAATGCAGGGTCCTGGGTTTAGTAACAATTTAAGGATGCACAGATGCCTCATCCCTGTCCTTTTAAGTGAGGCATGTCCATCCTAACATGCAAGCATGGTCACCCTTATCCTAGCCACTGAAAAGTGACTATTAACTGGGCAATGTGCATAGTTACATAGTCTGGCTGAAAAAAGACAAAAGTCCACCCAGTTCAAAAATAAAATAATTGCACTTCCATGTTGTGTGTACTGTGGGAAATCAGATATAGTGAATGCAGGGTCCTGGGTTTAGTAACACTATAATGCCTCATGCACACCAGGGGAGAAAATAAGCAGCATTAAAAATGCGTCTAAATCGTATTTTGCATGCCCGTTAATGTGCGTTTGCTCATTTGGTGTTCATGCATTCTATTGTACAGAATATTAACTTATTCTAGCAATTACCACACAAATGTGCCTAAATGCGTCTAGCATTAATGTGCGTTTATTTTTCCACCCAAAAGCTCCCCTACTGAACATGCAAATTATGTTTTTTTTCCTGCCTCTAAATGACTGTAAACACCTATGTGTGCATGAACATACAGGCTAACATGGAGGGGTGTTTGGAGGCAAAAAAAACAAGACTGTCAAGCATTAAATGTGACACCCAGTGTGCATGAGGCCTAATCAGTAAATGATCCGGATGCCTTCCCACAATCGTCGTATAGTTTTCTTATCTTAAAGTGATTGTGAGGACAAAGCTTTTATTTTTTAAAAATAACAAACATGTTATACCTGCTTGGTGCAATGGTTTTGTACAGAGGAGCCCCGATCCTCCTCTTCTCAGGTCCCCCACGGGCCCTCCTAGCATCTCCCCCCACGCTGACTGAGTTCCCTATAGCAAGTCTCTATTGTAGTGCTACTCCCATAGGAGCCACAGGAATACTGTCCAGGTCTTCTCCAAAAGCTTTGCCAGCCAGGCACATACTGTAGGCTCATTCACATGTTTCTTCAATAACCAGGGGTGTTGTTTTTGTTGTTTTTATTTTTGGAGAAATTGGATAGGGTTGAAGAAATTGGTGGGAATCCTCCAAAAACAAGAACTATGTACAGTTGAGGACTTAGGTATCCTTTCGGATAAGCTACAATAAAGTCTGTGCTTGAAACAAACAGTAGATTTCAGCTTTAAGACAGCAGTAGTAGTAGTAGTAGTCGTAGTAGCTAGAACAGAGTCCCTTTAGGTAGGAGATTAATTAGACAAAGCTCTTCAGAACACCAGCTTTAGCTAGACCAGTGTTTCTCAACTCCAGTCCTCATGGGCCCCCAACAGGTCATGTTTTCAGGATTTCCATTATTTTGCACAGGTGATTTGATCAGTTTCACTGCCTTAGTAATTATCACAGCTGTTTCATCTGAGGGAAATCCTGAAAACATGACCTGTTGGGGGTCCATGAGGACTGGAGTTGAGAAACACTGAGCTAGACCCACAGATGACTCCCTAACACCAGAGGGGGGTTAAGTAGTACACAGTCTCTATAAGATCCTTTAGGAGTGTCTGTATTCACAAGGCCCAAGAGCAGCTGGATGCCTTCCCCTGTGACACCAGACCAGATCTTCAGTAGAGTGCCTCTCAGTCAGCTTTTGTAAAACCTGCATATCAGCATTCAGGCCCTCAGGTCGCCAACCTTAGGCCGCACAGCAGTAGTTGCCTGGGAGGGCAGCATGCCCTCTCCTAGGCTGGAACAATCCTATACAGGAAAGATCCAGAGCTCAGTGTGCTCAAGGAATAATACAGTTACCAGTCTCTCTGGGATAGGCTGGAACTGTATCAATATTCATGCTGTCTTCTTCATAACTCCACACCTATCATCCAGAAACGTATAAAGTTTCCTGGATACGGAGGAAGCTAGGCTGACTGGTAGCATCTGAGCACAGAGAGCAGACCTAACTGAATAATCTCAGCTCTCCAAGTACAGTGAGCTAATTATGCTTTTACCTAACAAATAATTACAGCCACTTAATTTACCTATCAAAACACAACTAATTATATCTATTTAACCTTAGCATCTACATAGGAGGGTGCTACAAGGGCGTTCATGTGTGCTCGCTCACCGAGCCAACTCTGTGTGTCCATAAGACACGCAGAGCTCAGCTGGGCCCTGCCCCCTGTTACCTCCTCACTAGCCAATGGCTCCCGCTGCTGTGTCTAAGCCAATGAGGATGGAGAGAGCTGAGAAAGCCTCTGCTTTCATGCACATTTCTGGATCGAGATCAGGCTCAGGTAAGTATTAGTGGGATCTTGGTGGAGAGCTGCATACTGAAAGTTTTGTTACCTTCTTGCATAGAATGCATGAAGGTTAAAAACCTTCAGCCTTTAGAACCACTTTCATTTACGTTTTCTTTACAGTAATGCATTTTAAAACTGCAACCTGTGTATATAAAATTTGTGTCCCAGAATGTGTGCATCATATTTCTCTAGACAATAAAGCAAGATTGACGGCTGACATGCTTTATAGTTCTACAAACATTACTTTATCAGAACTGAAGGATGCTGAAAGAATTTCTGTGTCAGCCATCTAAGATTGTTTTAACCACCCTCAATTGATCTTTGTTGATCCAGGTGGACATCATATGATTTCCCACTGCAACAAGCCACACTGCGACACGATCTGTCACTGGCTGTGTCCAGACACAGCTGATGACTGATCACTGTACCGGCCTGCTGCCAGTACCATGTAATTGCTATGACCAATCACAGCAGATCACATGACAATTGTAAACAATGAATAGCTTTGATTCATGCCGTTGATTGTGTACAACTGTGTTGCTAGCTGTGACTGGTCACAGTGATCACATGGTACAGACAGGTCCAATCACAGCCTATCTGTACCAGGTGATTAACTGTGGCCAATCGCAGCTAATCGCAACCATACACACTGAAGATACAGAAAAGACAACTACTGGCATTTAGTTTTTCATAAAATATCTAGGCAAATTTAGTTTTTCATAAAATATCTTGGCAAATGGTAACTGTAATCCATAACTACTGAAATAGATACCTCCATACCTTCTGCTAAAATGTATTGTGCCAGATGCTTTGCATTTTCTGAAAGAATGCAAAGTGTTCTCTGATTGGACAAGGCAGAGAGCATGGCATCACCTCCCTACCTCTCCACCTCATCCAATCAGAGAATGTTGAAGTATGGGTTGTCTACTACATTGATTTCCAGCTTCCAGGGTGATCAGCCAAGTATGCTATATACACTGGTTCAAACTGGACCAATGTAACTATGTAAAAATATACAACAGGGAAACATTTTAATAATGATCCTTAAGACAATCAGATATTCCCTGGATCAATTATGCATGTTGTTGCTACTTAGAAATAATAAAATCCAGCTACATTCTATGCACTTAGGAATGCATCAAGATTTTAGCTTTTTTTTTCAACTGAGCTGTGCTGGCTAGAACTAGTTCCTGAGGGAGTCTGATCCACATTTTCCTAGCTCTTACTGTAAAGAAGCCATGCCTTTTACAGGGGTTAAACCTCTTTTGCTTCAAAAGCAAGGAGTGCCCTTTGTCTTTTGTAATGACTTTAAAGTGAATAATCTTGCACCATGTTCACTATATGGACCACTTATGTATTTAACTACTTCACCTCTCACACCTGTTCACCCCCAGTGGACCAGAGCAATTTTTACATTTCTTCTATGTACCTGTTTATCCAGCAGTAACTTTGTCATTACTTAAGATAACAAGGTAATATATATATTGAGGAGATTTGCTAAAACTGGTGCACGTAGATACTGGTGCAGCGGTGCATAGTAACCAATCAGCTTCTAACTTCAGCTTATTCAATTAAGTTTGGACAACAGAAACTAGAAGCTGATTGGTTACTATGCACAGCTTCACCAGATTCTGTGTGCACCAGTTTTATTAAATCTGCCCCATTGTGTTTTAAGGACAAACATGGCTTTCTTTTCATGATATTGTCATGATATTGTCCTGCAACAATGTTTTTTTTTTTTAATCCTTAGACAATAAAACACAAAACTAAACAAAATGCAGATATTTTGCACTGTCCAGTTTTAGTAAATCAACCCCATAGTGTTACTGCTATTCTGACTCCAGCTGCTGTATTAGTGACTTATCCCTTGCTGAGACCTCTATGCCTGGCCTGAATAAGCAGGTACAATCAGATTATCAGATAGCTGAACTCACCAAAAATTTGTTTTCTCATCTATGAAATCTCTATTGTATGCAGCAGGTTAGCAGCAGACAACAGATGCGGCAGATGATTGAAAGGACGGTATTTGCAGGCCAAAACATGGTAATGCGTTCCTGTATGCGAGCAGATTACATTACATATTGTGGCCTAGAGACAAGTGGCCATATTCATCCCAATAAAGACAGAGTGAAAAGGGAGCGGAAGTACATCACAAGTGGGAGGGAACACAGAAAAGGATGGTGCCTTAATAACTTTGTTGTATGTGTAGAATTTGATGTCATCTATCTGGATGTCTAGCTCCAGTATAAAGTCTGCAATTTCTACAGCACAGCACAGTCCCACAAAGTTCAAGACTGGGAATTGTGTGCTCAGGCTTAGGTGCTAACTTAGCTTTGCCAAACAGAAACCCTACATTGGTTTGATTGAAAGAGCCTCTTACATTGAGGTAGGCATCTGCTGCTTTGGCCTCAGTGGATGCATCTGAGAAGATGTGAATCTCTTTTTTCTGACTTGCAACAAGAGAAGCTGAAGTGTAGCAGCGTGGTATTCAATTTCATCTAAGGCATGTAGCAATTGCTCCAAGGACTCCCATTTTGAATATTTGTCCATTGGTAGTGGAGCATCCCAATCTTTACTAGTATCTGATAGCTGTCTTAATAAGGATTTACCTTGTATGGTGATGGGGGTCACAAATTCCAGTGGATTGTATAGACCAGTGATAGCGAACCTTTTAGAGATCAAGTGCCCAAACTGCAACCCAAACCCCACTTATTTATCGCAAAGTGCCAACACTGCAATTAAACCTGAATACTGAGGTTTTAGTTTAGAAAAACAACCCATACATTAACATCTTTTATCTTAAAAGAAAAAAACAATAACCAATAACAGAGCTTTGACTACCGGCACAAGGGGGCAAAGTTCCACTGATCACCGGCACAAGGGGGAAAAGTTCCACTGATCACCAGCACAAGGGGGAAAAGTTCCACTGATCACCAGCACAAGGGGGTTCCACTGACCACAAGCACAAGCTAAAATCTTGTGTTAATAAAAATGAATGTTTTAAAACTCATAGCCAGTCCAATATATATCCTTGGCAGTGCATTGACCGGCTATGCGAAA